GGGATTCAACTGTTGAAAATTAAAATATTGTGCCTGGAATTCCAGCAAGTAAAATGAAATCAGCCTTTACCTCTGTTTTCACTGCTATGCAAAAAATCACTTTTGAGTTCTATTGACAGACATTTCTGACAAAGAAATGCTTTCCTAAGTGTGAAAACCTAATAAGCATCATTAATCAACTTCATGGTTAATAACTTCAAATTTAAATGATATGAGGGCTTTTCATTTTGGGGGCCAAATAACTACAAAGATTTAAGGGAAAACAAGCTGGTCAGAGTGTAGAAAACTTATTTCTGTAATCTCTCTTAACAAAACCTTAAAAATACTCTAAATATCCATAATATCCAACTACAGAAAAATGTTGGAAAAAAAGACACAGCTATGCAGACATTAATGCTTATTTTTTGAAAAAATTTTAAAATAAAGCAAATTCTTGAAATTTAAAATTGACTGAAAGGAAATAAGAACACTGATTTGGGCTGTGTTAAATTACATATACTCACAGAAAAGACTGAAAAGAAACAAATCAATATCACAATAGTGGCTGTTCTTGTGGTGTGGGTAACCTTTTCCTTTCTTTCATATATGTCTATGTTTCCTAAATAATCTATAATGATCTGTAATTTTTTTGTAGAATCTAAAAAGCCAAATAAAAAGAAATGTTCTTCCTAAAATATATAATCTGTATCTGCACAGAATATTGAAATTTTATTATTTTCCATGACCATTTGATATTACCCTCATCTCTCTTCGGATCCTTCTGAGGCTTCTTTACGAACACGGTGTGTTCCTATATGCTTCCCTGCAGGCACGCACTGATTATCCATTGTCATGACCAACCAGAGCTGCCACCAACAGTTCATCTTGTTGGGATTCTCAGAAAGACCCTGGCTAGAACATATCCTCTTCGTGTTTGTCCTCATCTTCTACCTCGTGACCTTAGTTGGCAACATCGTCATTATCTTAGTTTCCCGCCTGGACCCCAGCCTCCACACACCCATGTACTTCTTCCTCACCAACTTGTCCTTCCTAGATCTCTGCTTTACCACCAGTTCTATCCCCCAACTGCTTTTCAATTTAGGTGGCCCCGACAAGACCATTAGTTACACGGGCTGTGCCATCCAGCTCTTCATGTTCCTGGCATCAGGTGGCACAGAGTGTGTTCTCCTGGCAGTCATGGCCTACGACCGCTTCACTGCCATCTGCAAGCCTCTCCACTACTCTGTCATCATGCACCTTCAGCTCTGCTGGAATTTGGTGTCTGTGGCCTGGACTGTTGGGCTCCTCAACTCCCTGGTCATGTCTCCAGTGACCATAAAGCTACCACGATGTGGGAGATGCAGAGTGAAACATTTCCTGTGTGAGATGCCAGCTCTAATTAAAATTGCTTGTGTGGACACGGTGGTTGTGGAGAGCACTGTGTTCATTTTGTCGGTTATAATTGTCCTGGTGCCTCTGTCACTTATCCTTGTCTCTTACTGCTACATCACCCTGGCAGTGCTGAAGATCAAGTCAACTGCTGGAAGAAGGAAGGCTTTCAACACGTGCAGCTCCCATCTCACTGTGGTCTCCCTGTTTTATGGGAATATTATCTACATGTACATGCAACCGGGAAATAACTCTTCTCAGGACCAAGGGAAATTCCTTACCCTCTTCTACAACTTGGTGACCCCCATGTTGAACCCTGTCATCTACACGCTGAGAAACAAGGATGTAAAGAATGCACTGAAGAAACTTGTGTCTAGCAAGTAAGGTGACACGGACTTTGCCTAAGTTTGCTTCTCTGCTTAGTGAATAGAAGTAAGTCATTCTTGAGGTGAACTTCTAAAACCCATTTACATATTGCAACCTACCGAACAAAAGCCTCCAATGACAGAATTTTGGAATGTGTATTACAAAACTCCAAATACAGTCCTGCTGACTAGCTAGACCATAGGTAAAATATAATTTGCATGATATCTTAGGTCTTCACTTCAAGTTTGCCTTATTTCCAAGTTGGCCACATCTAATTAAAAATCCAACAAAACCACAAATCAATATTTCATTGCTGTGAATAGACTGACTGATTTTATTATGTCCAAATAAAATAGGATACTCTTCTTTCTCAATGACATTCTGTGTAATTGTCATTTGTATCATGGCATTGAGCCAAGAGAGTGCCAAAGTACTTGTCTCCTGATATCTTTCAATTTTATTAGGTGGAGAAGATAGAGCATTAGCTTAGACATGTTCTATGTTATCATTTAAACTATGATAGCTCAATATTGTTTCTCTGACCAGTTGCATTAAAATTATCTGACACATATTGCTGCTGTTATTTTTTATATAGAGATTCTCAAGTCTCAACCACTGGAGTCTGATATTTAGAAATTCAGGAAATATTTTGTGTTGTGTGGTTCTAGCAAAAATTGCAGTTTGAAAACAATCCACTCTGACTCCTTTCGGATTAGGAAATGTGTTTATGGTGAAACATGGCATATGGCATGGCGACAAGTGTTTCATCAACAGACCACCTTAGCTCTTAGTAGAGCTAAGATTTTTAACAGAAGTGTTTGACTGTCTCAGCATGAATATAAATGTCCCTACTTTTTAAATACAAATTTTATTTAAAGGGATGTTAAAAGTAACAGTACAAAAACAAGTGCACACGCTATGGTGGGTGTAAGGATGTATGCAAACATGGTGATTGTGCAAAGTTACAAGGGATTAATTTTCACTTAGAAATAAACTGAAAGGTATTTGCTTACTGTAACTCATCTTAAGGACAAGGATCTTTTACTGGTGATTCCTTTAAATAGCTACTTTTCCAACTAAAATTTTCAAGTATACATTTCTTAACATAGTTTTGACATAGGCATAAAATAAATTAGCCAAATAATTTTATTGTATTATTTTTTTTCTTATTGGAGATGTTTGGTTTTACCTATTTTCTTTTATTTTCTTTTTTAAGTTGAAGCAACATTGTTTACAACACTGTATATGATGAATTAAAGGTTCAGGTTTATATTCTTCAGGGGTATGTGACCACCCACACCATCCACCAAGGGACCTATACTCCTCCACACCATAGTTCACTGTTTTTAAAAAACATATTAAGTCACTATTACGGGCTAGATATCACATTAAATGATATCATTTTGCATGCAAACATAAAGGTAGTAAATGTTTATTTCTTAGAATAAACATGGATTCAGATATTTTCTTTTTCAAATTAGGTGTTTCTATCACTGGAGTTCCTCACTTTCCTCTCTATAATCACTCACATCATAGAATTTAGTGTTTCGCTATTTCTTCTTATGCCAATTACCCACAAAACCAAATTCTGTGCTAAAAATTGATTCCAAATGTTAGAAAGGATTACAAGAGTAATGGCATTTCCTGTCCATTGGGACTGAAGGCCCCAAGAGGAAGAATTTCTTTGTTCTCTTACATGTATTCAAAGTATCCTTTATCACTGAGAAAAAAAAGGTTGACATTTATATTAAATAAAATTATCAATTTGCTAGCTAGCAAGATGTTGCAAGTGTCATATAATTCCCTAAACATAGTAGGGGCTATTCAAGTTTCCTACATATGTCAGGTGCTATTTTGTTTTTTAGCATTATAACTAAGATATTCTACTATATTTTCCAACAGATTATCCTTGGAAGGTATAAAAATTACTGGTTTTTGAATACTAATTTGGTAACCCATAAGCTTGTTAAAATATTTCTTTGGAGTTATAGTTCTTTACTTTTAAGTATATAACTATATTTGCTACAAATATTAATATTTTGTCACTTCTTTTCCAATATTTATAGCACTTATTTCTAGGCCTATCTGATTTTATTGGCTAATACTACCAGAATAAGGTTAATTAATGTAGGCAATAATAACAGCTTTTTATGGCTTTTTTTTTTTTTTCCTAAAGACTTATTTAGGCATACAAGAGCTGGGGGTGGGTGGGTGAGAGGATTCACCAGAGACAGAGTGGGGAAAAGAACAGGCAGACTGACTGAAAAACACTGCTGAGGGGAGCAGCGGGTGAGACAGAAGAGGTCTGCTGTGCCATGTGGGTTTCTCCCTGGCCAGCCGGGGATTGAACTCGTGCTGCAGAGGCTGTGGATTGCTTCATAGTGCGGTGCTTAACCCCTTGTGCCACCAGGGAGGCCCTTTATGGCTTTTTTTAAGTAAAACTGAAGTTTGCTATTTTAGTAAATACTTATTTTTTTAATTAATACTATAAACAAGAGATGCTCACATACATAGCACTACTATACATTTTTTCTATTTAAATAAGTCAGGAAATCAACTAAACAACTAACTCCACAATAAGGAGACTCTATAACCATAACCGTAGGTGCCGGTTGATAACATCCAATGGGAAAACAAAGAGCAAACAGGTCTAACAACTGATAAAATCAATCAATCACATTAAGTGACTAGAATTGGGCTTTAACAATTCCAACTAAACTTTCCCAAAGAAAAGCACCAGTTGCTCAGATTTCATTTCTCATTTCTTGAGAAGAGAATCCTCTATATGTACCTATTAACTATAATAAAACAGTTATAAAGCAGGAATAAGTTTTCCATAATGCTAACAGACTACAGTAAAATACAAAAATGATAAATCAATGGCTTATCTAATATTGAACAGGAAACTGAAACTACAAAATAATTCAGACACATATTCTACATTTCAACCATTAAAAATCTAGTGAAAGGAATAGACTTTAAAGTGTTATTTCTACAATTAAATGTAATTCTAGAGACACTGATAATCTTATTAGTAGCGTGACTTTAAAAGACATATCAGATCTGTTCACTGAATAAGAATCAGCCCCACCTTCTTTTTAACTGATTCTGATACTGTTCTTTATTAACATGTTCTATTTCTATGAGTTCCTTTTAATGATATCTTAAGTTTGGTGCTTATCTTACTTATTTTAAATCTTTCTCGCCTTTAATAAAAGTGGTTTGATTTCTTTTAAGAGTACAAAAAAAGACATCATCAAACTGACCTTGAAGAAGATATATTTCATTGAATAATTCATGCTTTGACTGGATTGTGATGGTTTCAAAGACATCCACTATATAACAATATTCAAATTGAAGGGAGCATCAGAGGGGGAAAGCTGTAAAAACAGAAAAATAAGGAAATGCCGCATTAAGAAAGATATGCATGAAAGTTTACACTTTATTCTGAAGTCAATATGCATGGCCAAAGAGGTTGAAACACAAGAGTAAACTGTCATTTTTTATATGTAAGGAAAATCTTCTCATCCACATTCACAGTTTCACTTCTTACATCAATATCCACTTGTAGAGGATGTACATGTAACTTTTAATATATATAGACAGGATAATTTGCAATTATCCACCACAATTAGAGTTCAGGTTTACAGAATATCAAATTATTAATTTATATTGATTAAGCAAAATGATTTTGAGAATTAGAATGCATAGAACATGGAATTAAGCACTAGAATGAAGGATGCCTATACCAGAGGAGTTCAGATTTTAGTGTGGAATGTAGATAATTAAGAATTAATTAAAATGGGCATTGATCATTAATAATTAATAGGTAGAAAGTGTTATAAGACTTCAAAAAAGAGAACAAATGGGGATTTTATGGTATTCATAAAACACATAATTTCTTACCAACATTGCCATTTTGATTCAACATAGCATTGGAAGTTTTTTCCAGAACAATTAGCAAGAAAAAAAAAAATAAATGGGGTCTCCCTGGTGGTGCAGGCAGTTGAGCGCTGCACCGTGAAGCTGTCCACAGCCAATGCAGCACGGGTTCCATCCCAGCTGGCCAGCAAGAATCCCACATGGCGTGGGGGACCTCCCCTGTCTCGCCCGCTGCTCCCCTCAGCAGTCTATTTCGTTAGTCTGCCTGTTCTGTTCTCCACTCCGTCTCTGTTGAGTCCTCTCACGCTCCCACGCATCTGGCCTGCACCCCGGTTCTTGTATGAACAAATAAATCTTCAAAAATAAATAAATAAATGAATAAATGAAGGCAACCGAATTAGACAGGAAGAAGAAAAACTGTCTCTATTTGCAGATGACATGATATATTATACATAAAATTCTAAAGACTCCACCAAAAAAAATATTAGAATAAATGACTTCAGTAAAGTTACAGGACAAAAGTAACATACAAAAGTCAGCTGCATCTATATGCCAACAAGAAACTATCAGATAGAGAAATTAAGGACACAATCACATTTACTGCACAATAGCAGCAAACACAATAAAATAATTAGAAGAATATTTTACCAAGAAGGGGGAAAAATCTATACTGAAAACTATGATTTTGATGAAAGAAACTAAAAAAGACATGATGCATAATCCTTTCATTGTATTGTTGAATTTGGTCTGCTAGTATTTTGTTAAGAATTTTTGCATCTATGTTCATTGGAGATATTGGCCTGTACATTTCTTCTGGGATCCTTGTTTGGTTCTAGTATCAAAATAATACTGGCCTCATAAAAAATGTTTGGAAGTGTTCTCTCATCTTCTACTTTTCGGAAGAGTTAATAAGTACAGTACTGATGCTTCTTTCAATATATTTGGTAGAATCTGCCACCAAAGAAATGAAAGGGATCCAAATAAGAAATAAAAAGGTAAAGTCTTTTAAAAAAAATATTTATTTATTTATGCATACAAGAACTGGGGTACATGCCAGAGGTGTCGGGAGTGAGAGGATCCACCAGAGACAGTGGGGAACAGAACAGGCAGATTGATTGAAATACACTGCTAAGGGGAGCAGCGGGTGAGTCAGGAGAGGTCTGCTGCACCATGTGGGTAGCTCCCTGGTTGGGGATCAAACTCATGCTGCAGTGGCTGCAGACTGCCTCATAGATTGCGTCTTAAACCCTTGCACCATCAGGGAGGCCCATAAAATCATTTTTGTTTGGAGATGGTATTATCTTAAATATGGAAAGTCCTAAAGACTTCACCTTCACCAAAACCCTTTTATAGCTAACCAATGAATCAGAGTGGTTGCAAGAGACAAATACCAATACACAGAAATGAGTTACCTTTCTATGTAATAACAACAAGTATCACAAATGAAATGAGAAGCAACTCATTCATGATAGCAAAAAAAAAAAAAAAAAACCACAACAACAACAATAAAATACACAGGAGTAAATTTAACCACAGAGGGAAAGTATCAATAACAGGAAAACTACAAAATTTTGATGAAATAAATTGAAGAACTAAAACTAACGGAATGAATTGGAAATATGACTACTGCTAAAATGTGCACATGACCCAGAAAGCCATCTATAGATTTTATGCATTCCCTATCAAAATTCTAAAGAGATAGGGGGAAAAAAACCCTAAAATTTCTACGGAACCACAAAAAGACACTGCCAAAGCAGTTCTGACAAAAACAACAACAGAGATGAAGGCATCACACTTTCTGATTTCAAGCCACACTACAATGTTATGGTAATTAAAATAGTATGGTACAGTCATAAAAATAGACCCACACAGCACAGGGGGAAAAAAAGCACAATCTAACTGCAAAAATGACTAGTATTTGACAATGAAACCAAGAATACTCAGGGGGAAAGATAGTGTCTTTAATAAATAGGACTAGGAAAACTGGATAAACAATGCAGAGAAATGGAATTGGAGCCCCCTCTTACAATACTCACAAAAATTTAAAAGAAACGGATTAAAGATGAGACCCAAAACTGTTAAAATCCTAGAACACATCAAAAGGAGAAAACTCTTTGGTTGACAGCTATGTTTGAATATGACACCAAAAGCACTAGCCACAAAGGCAAAAAATAATAAGTATAGGATGCCTTTTCCAAGATGGGGAGTAAATGCACAGAAAGGCTGATTTCACACTACAATTTACACATATTGACTCTTTTAAATATATTAATCACAGTCCTCATTCCAGTAAATATATGAATAAAGCAAAGTTCCAAGAGAATCATGCAATATTGTTTAATCGTTTTCAAATGCCTAAAATTAGACTTTAAAAATACTTGCTAGGAAGCTCTGGCCTGCGAATACAAAATAATGGTGGGCTCCTAAATGAAGTCCTGATAGTGAGTTTGTAATTCTCATTGTATAGGTCCTTCACATCCTCAGTTGGGTCAACTCAGTAGTATTTAATTCTTTTTGAAGCAATTTTGAATGGAATTATTAATTTTTCTTTATGCTTATTTTTTATACTTGTTTGTATATAATAATGCAACAGATTTTGTATGTTGACTTTGCAACCTGCCACTTTGCTATATTCATCTATTGTTTCTCTAGGTTTGGAGTGGCATCCTCAGGGTTTTCTATATATAATATATTAACTATGAATAATGAAAGTTTCACTTGTTTTCTGATTTGATTCCCTTTATTTCCTGTTGTCTGATTTCTTTAGCCAAAACCTCTCATTCTAAATTAAATGGAAGAGGCTGCAGTGGATATTCTTGTTTTCGTCAAGATCTCAAAGGGAAAGTTTTCAGTGTTTCACCATTAAATATTATTTTGGCTGTTAGCTTAAAATATCTGGCCTTTATTACACTGAGGTAGGTTCCTTCTACTCCCATCTTGTTTAGAGTTTTTATCATAAATGGGCACTTTATGATAAAAATCTTCTCCTCATCTATTGATATTACCAGGGTTTTTATCTTCAGTTATGCTGATATAATGTACTACACATTGATGAATTACATATATTAAATCATCTAAGTATTCCTGCAATATAAACCACTTGATTGTGATGCGTAATATTTCTGACATATTGTTGAATTTTATCTGCTAGCATTTTGTTGAAGATTGTTACACTGATGCTTATCAGGGAAGTTGATCTATATTTTTCTTGTGCTGTCTTTATCTGTTTTTTAATATTAAGGTAATGGTGACATCATGAATTGCATTAGGGAACATTTCTTCTTGGGGTTTTAGGAAAAAATCCGAGCAACCTTGGGCATAAGTTCTTCTATAAGTTTTGTCTTCAGAGGAAACAAGAGCTGTGTGGAGATTTCTTGACCTACTAAACATAGAGCTTCCATATGATCCAGCAATTCCACTCCTAGGTATTTACCCAAAGGACACAGAAACATCAATTCCAAAGAGCACCTGCACACCTATGTTTATAGCAGCACTGTTTACAATAGCTAAGCTTTGGAAACAGCCCAAATGCCCAAAAATAGATGACTGGATCAAGAAGATGTGGTACATATATACCATGGAATATTACTCAGCATTCAAAAAAGATAAACACATGCAATTTGCAGCAACATGGATGGCGCTGGAAGGGATCATGCTCAGCGAAATAAGCCAGAAAGAAAAAGAAAAATACCGGATGGTCTCACTCATAGCAGGAATCTAGAAAACTTAAATAAGGGACCAGGAAAATGAATAACTATAAGAAAGTGAAAATCAAAATCAACAAAAAACTATGAACCAGAGACACTTTTTGGGGGTGGGGGGCGGGAGGGGAGGGATTGGGGTCAGAATGGGGGGGTTGCAATTGTATGGGGAATATAAAAATAAAATTTATTATAAAAAAAATAAAATAAAAGTAATGAAACTTCCAAAAAAAAATAAAATAAATAGAGTAATAGAATGTGTAACAGAATGCTAACCATCAACTGGAGTGTATGTTCAGTGAACAGTAAGCCATGTGATTGTTCCCACAATCATAGGGTCCAGAGCATAAATACAGCTTTATGGATTAAAGGTGTCTCTTTTATTGAATCTTGTTGACAATGGTAGCCAAAACAATTTTTAAGCAAATAAATGATGTGATTGTGTCATTTAGCAAAAATAATTCAGATAAATACTATAAAAACTAAGTGTTGATCTGGCTGGAAGATACCATAGATGGTTAATGGTTCATATAGGTTAAAAAGATGTTAACTAATATATTGATAGGAAATAGGAAATATGTGCTGAAGAGTGGATGTATTCTAAAAACATGTCACAGAGAATAACGCTTAGGTTGATTTTTGGGACAAAACAAAAAGCAGATCAAAGATAATTAGGGGAGTTTGTACAGCAGTTAATCGTGATTTGATGATTTGATATTAGAATCTGAATATTTGATGTGCACTTACAGGAGCTATTTCCACAAGATAATGAGTTAGGTTGTAAAACTACTGAAATTTTAGAGTCAGATGACCCGGACACTTGGCCAAGATTCCATTTGCTTTATTATTTAACTCAGGAGGAGGTGTACGGTAGATTCTTCATCTAGATTAGGTTAAAGCCACGGAATGATAAAATATCTCAGGAGCAGATTGTAGAGGGAAAAGAGAGCCAAGTGCAGAATATTTAAAAATCTATGCATTCAAGTTTGCACCCATTGTGAAAAAAAGTGAGAATCGGGTGTGAAAGGTTTGGCACGGTAAAGAGACGGAGAGCCAGGCCAGTTCCTAACAGGCAGAAACTTTATTGCACCCAGAGCAAGATTCACCGACCCCCACCGTGGCCGGAGAAGTTGCGCCTGTTGTGGGGGAGACGTCCTTTTGTAGGGTGAGGGGAGGATAGGCATGAAAACTGGGTTGGAAGGGGGGAAAACAGGTTTAGGCGGAACAAAGTTGTTTTTCATGGAGCCGAGTTGTTTTTCTACTGTTTATGGCTTCAGTTTCGGTTTGATGGTATCGGTGGTAATGGTGTCAGGGACATCTTGTTTTTTTCTATGTGGGCTTCCTCATTCCTGGCCCCTACATCGACCTTTCAGGGTGCAAGAAATAATTTTTAAAAACAGAGAAGACAATGGACAGCGTAATTTCTTAAGGGAAGGGAACACTATAAATACCAAATGACATCAAGTAAGGTGCTGCCTAGACCATCTAACCTGCATGATGGGAAAGACATTGGTGATTTCACAGAAAGCACCTTTACCAGAATGATAAGGAAACATGACCAGAAGAATATTTGGAAATGTTGATGGGAGGAGGGAAAAAAAAAAAAAAACCATTGACTATTTTGTGTCCTAGGAAAAAGATGAAGTCAATAGA